ATGTGCTTTATTTTCCCGATTTGCCCTAGTTTTCACACGAACACAATTTTAGCAGGCGATTTGAATTAACTTTACGAACTCTGTGATTTCCGTTGAAGTTTCAATAATATTTCGAGTATCTCATATTGCCCTTTAATTGTGATGTTAATTGAAGCCCTAGCATAAACATCACAATTAAAGATCATGATGAAATGCTTGAAATGTTATTGAAACTTCAACGGAAATCACAGAGGTCATAAACTGAAATCAAATACCCCGCTAAATTTTGATGTGAACCCATTCGATAAAGAAGATTTCTTCTGCCAGTAGTGGAAATTAGAGTTTAGTTTTGATTGCAGCCGGTGATTTAAGCGACAAATAGCATTCTGCAGACGTATATTGCAGTTTCCAATCTATAATCTCTGTGATCTGTGACTCCTACTAGGAATGGGTGATAGATCCGTACGTCCACAATGAAGAACGGCGGAGGACACATCATATCACCTATTGGGAGTGTGATGTGGCTGGTTGTCTATGGGAAAGCGCCTCCTTGGGGAATCGTGTGTCTTACAATTTTATTGGCAGTGATAATTTGGTCGGAAAATCTAGAGGGAACCTTCGTTTACATCGATGGAACATGGCAAGCACAAATCTATAGGAAATTTATATGTTTGGAGATTTAGGTTCATGTGTAGCAAATCACGATTGCCTTTATTTTGTATTCAATATCGTCTTCACTTGCTTCCAAGATTAAGTAATTGATGAAATAATTCTGCGTACGTTCCCGTATGTTTCTATATTTGCAGAGCAAATGGTTCCAAAATCTCGAATAACTTTTGAAACAGAAAGATGTTTTAATCGTTCTTTTTAAATGTTATGTTGTTGGATTCACAATGCAATAATACTACTTGAGCAATAAATCTCTAAATACATCAACTGTGCGAGTCTACCTTTCGCTTAGAAACACTGCACGAACTCGAGTAAAGCTTATTTTTGTATCCATGTGTTTAATTTTTCATCATTCGCAGCGCGAATAAATTATCCCTTGTTCACACAGGTTAATTGTTTCGCCATGTTCGTTTGATTTTGGGTTTAATCTATTGGCAAGTAAGGAAAGATGTGGAAAGAACAATATCAATTAATTAAAAACAAACAGTCTGTTTTGGCTATTAGCTTTACTAATAATCTAAGGCCTTTACTAGAATACGAAATATACCCGTACCTTGTTTCTGGAGGAAAAAAAATATTATTTGCGCCTATCTTCATTAGCGCTGCTGCCATTTTATTTCAATTACTTTAGCTGTTACTTTTTACCGTCGTCAATTATTGCAAAGCTTTACAGAAGACATAAGTAGACCTGAAGCACTTCTGAAGCTTCTTACCACTCTTGTTTGCTTTCGTTTGCTCAGAACCAAACCAACATATGAAAATCTAAATTTATTTACAACAATTAAATTTTTGGCTAATATCTACTAAATAGTAATTTAAATGTCCGTTTATTCTACATTCGCTTTCTGCCAAAAAATTGGTGCTGTTAATATTTAACTTAATAGTTTGTTGAATTAGTTTAATTAAAGTGTCTTTTACATATAATGTTTAAACGTTTCAATGTTGATATTTAATTTTATATCCACTATACCTTTAATGGTGGGTCTATATTTTCAAAGGAAAAAACATTACATTTTTTGTATTTCTGTTCAACAAATCAATCAGCTTTTACGGTTTTGCTAAATCTCCGACCACATCCAACCAACTAGAACAAAATGCAAATTAAATCACCCTTTTACGCAGTTAATGTTTTATGTTTAAAATATTCTTGAAATGAGCTTAACAGCACTAACAAAACTGATCTGGCCTCCTTCGTTGATCTCTAAATCCTTCCACTCAACGTGTGGTAGAGCATCAAGTTGTACAGTTATGTTCTCAAATTCATTGAAATCTTCATAGATAGAGTTATGTTTCACTTAAGAAAGAACATTTAAAAAAAGAGTGGCTCCCAACTAAGACATAAATCACATAAAAGTTTTACAGGACAATAGAAATCCAACAAAACGATTTTAGTTTTTGAATTATTGTCATGCTTAGACGTTAAAAGACTGGTAAAGGCCAAATTATGGCGCTGATAAATGGATTCCAAAATCAATGAGAATTGCTTGTAAATAGTACATAAGTAAAAAATTGTTAATTGAACTTTTTAAAGTAACATCCAACTGGAAGCAAGAAGTAATTTGTTTTATCGCAATGATCACTTCATTTTTTTTTTTTTAATTACATTATAACAGCTGAACATAATAGCCTCGAATAAACAAAAACAAGAATCATATTTGAATTAATGAGCATTTATCGGAAGTTTAAAGTACTGATGATTCCAGATAACCGGTTCGCATGTGGATAATTTTTCAAAGTCACTTGCTCTAGTAGCAGCCGTATCAGATAAATCTTTTCTTGTTTCTCCTTAATTATTTCAGCCAGACATTTCACTTAAGTCCGCTGATCAATTATTTGCGGATGACCATGTAAGGAGAGATAATGCTAATATGGGATGGATAAAGCTAAGAACTATGATTAATAATTATGCAAATCGTACTGTCATTTATTTGATTGAGCAAAAAAGTTGATATCAAGTTAATTTTCAATTTTACTTTTTTCGTAATTCTCAATTGAATAGATTAGTTTCGAATAAGAGAAGCCAAGAAATATTATACGTTTGACAATTTTAGTACTTAAAAATTAATTGGCTTCAACTATAAGACGATATTTAGCTTACCAACTCGTTGTAAATAATCATTGAGGAATTGACTTTTTCGTTATTAAATGAAACTTCAACTTTCTTTTGCAAGTATTTATTTATAGATATTTTTAAATATCCAGTGGGTCTCTCAAACTGCGTCTGATAAATACGAGCTGCCGTTTTGTTAATCATGTTTTATATTAATTGCATAAATTTGTAAGTTCGGATCGATTACTAATTAAGTTTCTATTTTTGCGTGTTTACTGTAATAACACCAGGTCTAATTTATTCTACCAAAACTTAATTACCAGGATACATGGAGCGCTGTGTATTTTCAGAACAAACATGTTTTGTTACTTCGTTATGGTATAAAATTAACTGCTTTGTATTTGAAAACTTTCAACTGGACTTCCACTGTGGAAAATGATCTACCATCAACTTATTTCTCGACTGCATGGACAAGCTTTGCAATTGAAACTGTAGATCAGACCAATAAGTAATAAACGGTAATTTAACAAAAACCTTAAACAAAGCCATTGCTAAATGAATAACTTTAAAGTTTCGTTATTTTTTTTTTCATTCATAAAGGCACAATAATAAGAAGGAATAATCTTAACCGATTGTGTATTAGAAACTTTCAAGAAGTTAAAAATGCTGGGGATCGGGCTGTTTTTGCTTCCAAAAATTAAATACGTCTGAGTGAGTTTCCAATTTTCAAAACATGTACTTTCAGTTCAGAATTTAATAAATTAATGTGAATTTTCAATTAACCAAATCATATTTACAATAATGATACTAATATTTGGCTACACCTATCTCAAGAACAATTATGTTTACAGCCCTCGTTTTCATAGCGCTCGATAGAGCATTAAAACGCATCTGCCAAATAACTCAGCAACCAGGAAATAAAGGCAGTTTTCATTAAAACTTTTCGCTTTGTCACCAATGGATAGAAAATTAAACAGTAGGTACATTCATTAATGTTTTCATTGATCATGTATTTCTGAGGTCTGTCTACTGTAAGGAATAAAATCACCTCGTAATACTAATATATTTATTTATATTTCTTTTACTATTCAGATAATCTTGATCGGTAAATAAAAATAACCCCTAGACAAATTAAAAATGAAAGGTCAAAAT